ACAGAAAGTGAATCAAATTTTTAAAAGTTAAAAACAAAAAATATGTCCTATAAATCAGAGGATACATCATACCAGTTTAAAAAACAAAAGTTTTTAAAACATTTATCAAGACCTTGAGATCACCTCTAAAAAGACACACACACACCAAAAAACAAACCACCATTTCGTCATTTTAGTTACCACTTCATAAAATACAGTAAGAGAAAAGAGAATAAGATAAAGGTGTTATAGGGACTTCTTTTTCTTAAGAATATAAATATATAAATTATATTAATGTTACATTGATCTTTTCAAACTCAAACGAAAATAGTAAGGAAAGGATAATTAGAGACAATACATCACCTCATCTGACAGAGAATACTAGAAGAACCAAATTTTAACTAAATATAAGCAATGAATTTAGATGACTATATGAAGTAATTCTACATATGTCCTATTTAGTTTATTATAGTCATTTACTTGTTCTTTCTTTCAACAAATATTTAGAGAATAGCTACTTTACCCGATAACCCATTCTACTTTTTACTTTTATTTTCCTAAAATAATTCCCCTTTGTAATTTCAAGCATTTTCATCAATACTATCTTTTCTTAAGCATAATCACCCACTTCTATTTCTATCAATGTTGTTGCTAAATACATAGCTTCATCTTTCTAAAATAACAGTAGTATTTCACTGCATGTAAATGCCACAGAATCTTACCCAGTCATCTATAGATGGTCATTTGGTGCTGATTTTCATTATTATGAATTATGCTACTATAAATTATGCACTCTCTCTTTTTCTCTCCCTTCCCTCCCTTTTTACATTATGATCTGCAATATAGATGTGGAAAAGTTATTAGGTAAAGCTCTTTACCCACTTTGAACACTCAGTACCTGTCCAAAATGATCATTTCCAACTACGATTGTAGTACTGGTCACCCTTCTCTATCCTAACTGCCCTTTGCCTCCTCTAGACACTCTTGTGCAAAGCTTCTAACCATTGACCAGTCCTCCTGGCCCCTGTTTTTCCCTAGCCTTGGATATCAGTCCCATATATTATTTTTTATATCCCACAAACAAATGCTGTCTGTCTTTCTTAGTGCCCGTCAGCAGACAAAAGGACTTATAAAATTATTCATCCATTCGGAGAGATGGGAGCACACCTCCTTTAGGACTAGGTTTTGAATGAAAGAGGAAAACCAGCACAATATATCAATAATAGCTTCGAGAGCATAGGTCCAACTTCAGAAACAGAGACAGGTTTCAGCCAATATTGTCTTGCTAGGCCTCATGCTTCGAGAGTGGCTGGTTGGACATGATGTTAAGCAAAGGCCTCTCCTCAGAAAGTTGGAGTTGTGGAGGCTTGCTGGAAAGTTACCTAGACTTGGAGAGCCAAGGCCTTATCTCAAAGGATAAGGTGGAGTTTGTTCTTTTCCCCTATTGCGAAATATGAGAATATTAAGTAATCTGTTTATATCAGACAGATTCAAAATCCTGACTAGCTTTTTAAGGATAAAATAAATATAGAATTTCCTCCTGTTTGGAAAAAGCTACCTGAACCTCTTTCCTCCTATCTTAACTTTGTTCACACAACAAAAGTGGACAATTTCCCCTGTGGAAGTGTGTCTAAAATGAAAACCACGTGTGGTTTCTCATGGTCAGCATTTCTGGTAACATCAATTTGTCATCTTCATACCAATTATGTGGAAATGTCTGGGCTGGAGCTAGTTTTTTGGTTCAGAAACAAATATGAGTATCTGTATGCCAGAATATTAACTTTGCAAAACCACACACAGTATAAGATAACCAATTAAAGAAGAGATTTCAAATCTTCTCTTGACTTTAAAAATCAAAATTTCACTTCATTTTTTTTCCCCAGCATCAGAGATTAAAACAGGGTCTCATATATTTGATTTCTTTTCTTAGGAGTATTTCTTTGATACTCCTTAGAAAACGCACAAGACAAATTATGTGAAAATGAGGCTTGGGTCTTTAAAAATATACCACATAGATAAATTCATTATTTAAACAGAGGATGACTCCTCTTCTGACTCACTCTGTTCTTAGTGAGTTTTGCAGTTGATGATTTTTTATTAAGTTTTTAGAACGTGGATTAAGTGTCATGCCACCCACTGAGAGTAAAGTTGAACCAGTTGAACTGAGGGCGTGGTTGGAAGTTGCAGCCTTTTCTCCAACGTTAGAAAGAACTATAAAACAGCATCTGGATTTTCTTCCCTTCAGGCAAAGCTGCATCTAATCACCCCAAATTAGACCTTAAGAAAAATTTTAAAAGCATAAACATTTGAAAGTAACTAGAGCTACTGGACCTCTGTCACCCTAATAATCACTTAATAAGAAAGCACATCTTACTTCTACAAATTGCTTTTGAAAAAAATTATTTCAAGTTTACTTTTGCCAAGTGTACTGCAGCACACATCAATCAAACTTATTCTACAAGCCAGATATATAAATGTTTGGATAAAAGAAAACACATTTGATAATTGAATATAAGGTGTTCCAGCTCCTTGCCCTTTGAATATCTAATTCTTAAAACTGGAGCACTTATTTTATCATACGTGTACTACAGCAATTCTGTTATTTGAGAAAAGAACTTCATTTTATTTTCCTTCAAATATATTCTTCCTTATGCAATTAAAAGTATGGCTAAATTCACCCTGAAGAAAAACAGTCCCACTCAAAATCTTCCTTAGAAGTCTTGAAAGTCATCTCTTGGTCTGAACCACTGGGGTATAGATAAGACACTAAACCTCTGACCATCTCAACTTCTGTGCACTTTTAACTAATGTTGCTGTTAAACTTAAGTGTTCCCATTCCCACTAGATGAACCAGACAAGAAAACAAGTGGGTCAACTGGGAGACCGTGATTTCAAAATGAGTAGTTTCAAATTGTTTCAAGACTTGTACCACAGTAGAACTTCAAGGATGAACTTTCCCCACCAAATAACACCATAAACAATCATGTCATGGAGCACGAGGTAGGTGAGGGCAGAGTGTTACTTTCTATTTGTTCACTTCAAGAAGAAACATTTCCATTGGGGTACTGGAGAATTCCTTTTCTGATAAGGGGACAGTAAGCCAAATAAGCTTTGGAACCTCTGCTTAGAACCTCAATCATCAGTAACAGAAAACTAACTACACATGCCTTAAGAGAAATGTAATCTGCCCAAGCACCAATCAACATGAAAGATACTCATGAAGATAGAAATCTTTTCAGAACAGGAAAATACACCAAATCCATGTGGCAGGTTTAATCAACACAAAGCCAAACAGTTTTATAGATGTTTCTACAAGCTTTTGTTGTCTTGTTTCTCCTCCGAGCAACCTGGCTACAGATCTGTGTGCTATTCATTACATTATTATCTTAATTTCATGCTTGAAAATTAAGGGAAATACTTCAGGAAATAAACTTTTAGTCAAAAGCTTAAGAAATCCACAGACAATATTGTACTGCAGCAGGGGTGCTGTCAATCCTACAGCACTTACAAATTCAAGGGGTGATTTAAATCTCCTGTGAACTTAGCTAGAATATTATTCTCAAGGAAAACACAGAAGCATACACACATACACAGTACACCTCATTCCCAAACTTTCTCACTGATTCTTTTTTCGACTTTAATTGTCCTTCAACTATATGATATTTTCTGGGTCTTATATTATTTCTTACACCACTAGGCTCTAGTTTTAAGGTTCTCGACTCTTCTTTGACATGGGGACAGCTGACAGCATGACCACAACATCAAGGATTATAAGAATCTTACAAGTTTTAGGTACTTTTTTCTCCAACTTGACATTTTCCCACAGTCATGTCACCAAAGTGCAAGGAACCCATAAAATAATGTGAAAGAAAACATTGTAGTTTCCTTTTCCTAAGAAACAGGCATCAAGTTCTTATGAGCTTGTCTCAAGAGCATAAACGCAGGAAGGCGGGAGTGAAGGGGGGGACCAACCCTCCAACACACGGTCAGAAGAAACTTCCCAAGAAAACGTGAGAAACAACATAACAGCCACAGTACCCGGACCTTTCCAAGTAGCACAAAAGCATCCCGTGCCCAGGAGCTGGGGTTCAGCTGACCACCCTGCAGACAGCACCTACTCTCGTTTCCAATGCCACCACCACTTTGGTCCAAGTTTTTAGCAAACAGTAACTGTTTATCAAACAGCAGGTCTTTGACAAGAGTCTCCAAAATGCATACAAATCAGTTCAGGGAATGATAGTTTCCCTGCAAGTTTAACTTCATTTTATGATGACTGCCTATAAGCCCTATTTTTGAAATTTCACCATCAATATTAAAGAATAATGGTTTGTTTATATGTCATGCCTTGTTTTATTCTAATCAATGGTAAGTCCTTCCTTGTCACTATGAAATGAATATTATTATGCCCTCATTATTGATAAATCAAGGCATAAGAAAACACATACTGAAGCATCTGCACCAGCAAAGATTTGGCTCTGATTTAGATTGTAATAGACACTGGAAAACACTATCTAGAGAGGTCCTGGAGGATTTTAAGCTAAACAATGTTTAACCATCTTTTCCTGAGCACCAATCAGGATTACCACTCTTTCTAGCCTTAGCTTAGACCCATTTTTCCAGGAACGATGGCATCATTTCTCCTTCTGAACATCAGTTCCTGTACCCTGCAAGCCATAAGAATATTTGAAGATGCTAGAAAAACCAATCTGTCTAAGTCTAGCAGCTTCCTTGAGATAGTAATTAGCTGATGAATGCTATCTGGCAAAATATTTCTCTCTTATGGAGAAGTACAGCTAAGTACCTACTTCAAAAGTACTTATTTTTTTGCCATGCAAGTCCACACTAATTCACATCCTCTTGGTCCTCTAAGAAGTTTTTAAAACTACTTCATAGGTTAAAAAAAAAAATGTGAGAGAACTTTTATTTTGAACTAAAAAATACAATCTATGAAAGGCAAGAGTGCTGTTATCTACAAGACACATGCATCTGAATATTCACTTTCCCGGACCCACAAAGCTCACCTTCTACTTCTTCTTCATCACATACATGCTTAAGGAAGGAAGCCCCTCTGTCCAGGACAGCTTCATCCTCCATCCTATAGTAATAAAAAAGAAAAAAAGAATGCTCAGACTTCTCCTGGAGGGAGCCACTTGAAGCAGCCCAGCTTTTGGGCAGGTTAACCTGCACGCTGCTATTCATGATAACAGAGCAGTCACTCTTCTCTCTGGCTGCTTCTCCTTCACGCAGCTCCTCTCGTCTGATGCTGGGGAAGACGCCGGTCCCACATAGCTTCAGTTCTAACCTTGAGAGGGCACCCACAGGGACAGGTGAGGAAAAAAGTATCTTAGTCTCGTTGGCTGGAGGTGAAGGGCTCTTCTTTTAATGAGGGTTCTTCTTTTAATGCATCCACACACCCCAAAAGATGAAAGCAAAGAAGGGAAAAATCGCAAGAGAGGAAGTTTGGTGTATCTGGAGTGTTCGTGATGATCATTTGTGGAAATCCAGCTTCAGTGCTTAGCTCTTTAAACACCCACTGCACGAAGATGTATACACACACACACACACACACACACACACACACACATGCACGCACGCACGCGCTCACACACACATACACACCCACACACAGCAAGCGAGAGGGAGCTAGGCTATGAACAGTGGGAGCCTCGCTTCCAGCTAGCCTCTTAATACCAGCACAGCCCAATGTTCTCTCTTGAGTGGCAAGCTTCGAGTCACATGTTGGCCTTCCAGAAATCTAACATCTCAAGATTATCCAGAAACCCGGCTGCAGCAACAGTTACACATCGAAGCTATCCATTCATTCCGTTTCCATTTTTATCCCTCTCCCTTCATATAGCTGTCCTGTTAACTCCTCCCTGAAGAGCCTGAAGTTCTTCCTTTTGCAGCCACGATATGCTGTCCTCCTCACTCCTTACATAACAGGAGCTACGATTTCATATGCTAAATAAGACCTCAGACTGCATCCAAGCAATGACTGCATTTTTATGGCCTCCTGGTGCCAAACATGTTTCGAGCTGATACAGTGAGTGAAGATTTATTTCCGTATTCTGGGACTCTTTTCCCCTGCATTAACTTTGACACACAGAATTTCATGAGCACCATTGATAATGAAAGCATAAAGAAATCCCAAATTGCTCAAACGCTGCTTGTATCATACCCATCTAGAAACAAAGAAGTTTTTCTGGGGACAGCTGCTCTATGTCACACCGTGCATGTGCTTTGCCAGGGAAGCAAATGTTCACTCTGTATCCTATTCATCCAATTATATACTCAGGCGCTGAGGAGTGCAAGGCTCTTTTCCATATTGTCTGTCCTGTGCTTCAGATATGTGTTATAATCTAAGTGAATATGCACTGAATCCGTATTTTCTGATTTCCTATTTTAGGAGCATATCACTCTCTCAAAACAACTATCTTGGCATAAAAAGCCAAAAATTTGGTCTCAGGTCTATCTAGATTTTAAAACAAAAATCTACTTCCAGTACTTAGCATTTGTGTCACCTGAAGCAAATTATTTGACTTTCCTGAAACTTGCTTTTTCCATCTATAAACCTGGAGAAAGTAACATCAACCTTAGGCCTGGGCAATAGTACAGAGGTTAGGGCACTTTCTTTGCACGTGGTCAACCGGGTTTGATCCTTGGCACCCTATACGGTCCCCTGAGCCCTCCCGCCAGGATCCCCGAGTACGGAGCAGAGCCTGCAGTAAGCCCTGAGCACTGCAGAGTGTAACTCAAAAAAAAAAAAAAAAGAAGAAGAAGAAGAAGAAGATGATGAAGAAAAGAAGAAAAAATAAAAATATTAACCTTATAGGATTGCTTTGAAATTCAAATTAGGTAGCATACATGAAAACGCTCGGTTTTGTGCCTACCGCCAATTAAATGTTTAATAAATGCCATCAATTGCAATTCCTTTCTTCTGTCCTACTTTCTTCTTCGCCTTGACCTTCACTGGTGGACAATACATCAGAAACTCATTAAATTGCCTTAGCGTATTTGCAGAATTTCTTCCTTCAGAGATGTAAAGCCTGATGTACTGGTTCGTCCTATGTGTAAAATATTTCCTTTCTCTATCTTCAAACTAAAACTTAAAAAAATTAGAGTAAATAATGCCATTAACTCTTCAATCCAGAGTGCAGAGTGCAATCCGGTCCATTTTCTTTTAAGAAAATGCCTTGAACAATCAAGTCAAGTTGCTTACCAGTGTGATGCTTGGGTTTCCATAAGGATTCAATGATACAGCATAATCACTGGTTCAGCAAATACTTATTTAGTGGCTGTTACACTCCTGGCACTCTTTAGAGGGAGGGGAGTACATCCATAAATAAAACAGACAAAATTACCAAGAAACTAATTATAAGTAGATGGACACAGTTATTTTAGATCATCTTGAGGGCTTTTCAGAAAATGAAGGAAAGCAGGGGGTTGCTGATATAAGGTAAATCAGCAGGAGTAAAACTAAAAGCAGAGACAAAAATGGGCATGGGATGGGGGAGAGGGCAAAGAAATCGTTCAAAGGACGGCTATGTATGCCAGGCATGCTCCAGGCCCCAGGTTTGATCCCCAACACCACATGGCCTTTCAAGCACTGCCAGGTTTAGACTTGGTGGCTCCAAGCCCTGCAACTCCCAGAAAAAGAAAAGATAGAAAAGAACCAGGAATTTGAGATCTGATGGGCAGAGTATTCGAGCAAAGGGAACACAAGGACAAAGACCCTAAGGTGGAAACAAGGTTAGCATGTTCCAGGAACAGAAATGTGGTCAGGCTGGATTAAAAGAAAAAAAAAAAAAGAGGTTAATGAGAGTTAACAGCGCCAGAGGGAACCCAGGCGATGCAGGGTGGTTAAGCAGTTAGAATGTTAGCAGTCATGGGAGCTACGGAAAATTTTAAGATGGAAAGTGACTTCAGCTATCTTACCTCTTTAAAGGATCAATGCTACGTAAAAAATGGATTGTGGGGACCAAAGAAACCAGAGACCTATTTAAAAAACCAATGCTAGGAGAAACGGGTTTTGGGGAAGAATTTTCAAGAATTTTTTTTCTGACCACATTAAGGTTGAGATGTTTATTATATTGGGGGTGGGGGGAGGGGAAACAGTCAAAGACAAAACTCTGTGTCTACCTCCGGAGCTCAGAAGCATGCAGTTACAGATAAAAGTGGAGGAATCGATCAATAAAGTTGGTATCTGAAGCTATTTCTAAATGAGATCATTCAAGAAGAAATGTAGAAATAGAAGCACTGACCTAAGACCAAGTGCAGGGGCATGCCAACATTTACAGGCAGAGCTGAGGAACAAAAACAGTCAATGAGGTAAGCAGAACACCAGGAAAGAGTGAGATCAAGGCATTGAGAAAAGAGTAGAGTATTGCTGCTAAGAAAAAGCACTTCTCAGAAAGATTGAGCCGGAGAGGGAAAACTTGGCTTGAGCAATATGGAGGTCATGGATAACAATGACCAAAAGACCTCACACCACACTGTGTTAAACTCAGACCTCAGCTTTCAATCATTCCTTTTTCTGCTTTCTGCTTTCCTCCACTCATTCACTCACTAAATACTTAATGAGGACCTACTATGTGGTAGGCACACTAGCTGACACTTGAGATGCAATACTGAGCATGTAGGCAGAGAACTCTACTTTTGCACACGCTTAAGACTTCCTCTAGCGATCTCGGAGAGTCGGTACAAAGGGCAAGATCCCTTTGTACACCATTTGTAGACACTGATGTGATGTCATCTCACAACAGAAATTTTCTTAAAAAGGCCTCCAAAACACAAAATCCTGCATGTATGCTGATGTGCTGTCTCCTCCTTGGAAAACAAACAGTGGTGTAGCTTCCAGCTATTCTCACCTTTCTCACCTGGTCCTGTTTAATCTAGAGAATCTAAGACAGTGTCCTGTGAAATAGCATTTCGAAACCCCACCATTAATCAAGCTGCTCCAAAAATCTTTTACTAACATTTTACACGTTTCCTAAATAGATTTCCCAGCCTTTGTGCCGAAGCCCTTTCCAGAACTGCACACGACAACCAAAACGGAAGGGAAGGAAGAAAACCATGAAGAACTGAAAGGGATGATGGAAACACTAATGGACCGGAGTCCTCTTCCAAGGTACACTCACTCACCCACCCACCCACCCGGCCCCCTGCCCACTGCCCAGGGCTACATGTGAGGGAAAACAATGATTGGTGCATTCCTTGGCTCTTTGATACATAGTTGACATTCCCTCCAGGACTATACATAGCAAGTAATTAGAAACCTAGTTCTTTTCCAGGGACAGAGAGAGCATCTGCAAGCAGTCTCTTCCACTGTGTGCTGGGAACTGAACCTCTCAAACTGCACCCCCATGGTGCAGGGACCCACCCTCCAGAGCCAGGCCAGCCCAGGGTGTCTGGGACAAAGGACCAGACTGGATGGCCTTTTTGTTTGTTTTGTTTTCCCATCTTTATGCCACCAACATCCACAATCCAAGTTTATACTTCCCTCTGAAATCCTCTCCACAGTTGCTGGCTATTATTAGTCAGGAAGAGTTATCTTTAAAACGGTGGTCTGACCCGACCTGTTTATTTTCTCCCCCTCTCTCCACAGGAAGAAATGAACTCATCTAAGACTCTAAATCAGGTGCCCAGAAGCATTCTTCACGCGTCCCCTTCACACAAAATGCAGTTGCTGGACCCCAAGGAGGGAAGGACCCTGCTTCTCAAGAGCCCATGTGAGGCAAAGTTCAGAACAGATTTGGAGGCTTCCCCGGGCATCACGGGATGCCAGTACAGAACGCACAAGGGACCGACGCCGCCTTCCTCCAGCAGGACTTACGTTAGGAGTCTAGTCTCAAGCCTGCACCCATCAAGGGTTTCTTGTACTCCCTGTTATTCTGGGACACCGAGATGACTAAACGGCAACACATGTCAAATCTGCTGCCAAGCTGCCTGGCTTTCCCCTGGGGTCCCAGTCCCCAAGCAGGCTCCTGAGGGTGACTTAAGCACCGCCTGAGAAACACTTGTGCAAGACTGTCAGCCACTGGGTCCTGGGTACTATCGACATTCCACCCCTGAGCCTCAGCCCCGGCGTCCGCGCCAACTGCCAACGTGCTGCCCAGCTAGTCCACACGTAGCGAGCAGCTGCCACCAGGCCGGTCAGCAAGGGCAGGCGGCCAGCACCCCCGTTTCAGGATACAAGTCTGTGCCGGGAGAGCTCTGCTAAAGGTTGAAGGTCTTTGCCTGCGCTGGCCTTGAGGCTCGCCTCACTTGCCCTCTCCCCTCCCTGCCCTGTCCCTCCTGGGCTGTGACTCCCACAGCAGCACGGCCCACATCTCTATAGCAACAGCATCTGCGGTCGGGGTTCTCACT